CAAACCACCTCCCACAAAGGCTGCTGTTATTTTAGATAATTACTGAACACGCCACAGAGCCCAGCCTGCAGCAGAGAAAGACCTTGAGTGACGCCTTCGCCCTGACCTCTGCTCTCCTGACTCAGCGGTTTCCTTGGCGCAGCACCAGAGAACTACAGATGCCCAGGACGAAGCCAGCAGCATCCAGCCACAGGGAGGCAGGGACACTCCACTGGGGCTCTGGGACGGAAAGCCCGGAACATTTCCCTGAGGGCTCCAAAGGGTCTGGTCTGGGAGAAACACTCCATCTTCTGGGAAGAGGCAAGTACATCCAAGGTCAGAAAGAATTTGAACTCTATGTGAATCAGATCCAGACCAGGTTTCCTGACCATGTCACAGGTGACTTTGGGGGCCATATAACGCTTCCTCATAGGGCTGCCCTTTGAGTTAGAAGTGTAGTAGCATTTCTGGTCCCTACTGATGCTACCTCTACGTGTGACAACCAAAAATGGCCAAAGTGGCCCACTGCCGAGAATTCTCAGCTCCAACCCTTGTCTTACCACCTGGTCAATCAGTGGGAAATATTATAGCCTTTCATTAAATCTGCCCTAAAACCTGCCTTCCAGTCCTCCAGGACTCTTGTTTCAATTCAATCTCAAAGGCAGTTCTTAACACTAGCTGCACAGTAAAGTTCCCTGAGGAGCTTTTTTTAAAACTCCAATCCCTGTGCCTCGCCATCCCAGATCAGATGGACTGGGGCACTGCTCTGGCATAGGCACTTTTAAGAAGGTCCCTACGTGGGTCTAACCCAAAGCTGGGATGAAGAAACAAGGCCCACTGCCTCATTCCACCCTCTCCCTTGTCCTCTGACTCTACTAGCAGTGATAAAAGCCACTATCAGCTGAAATAAGGTCAAGAAATCTCATTAACCTCCCCACTCCTGACAATAAAACTCTCTTTGTTAAGCACTGTCTCTTGGCCCATGGATGACTTCCCCAAAAAAAGTACAAAAAAAAAAAAAGAAGTTAACCTCATCATCACGTGGCTGTTCCAATGCTCCACGATCTGCAGTGTTGGTCCCCAGAACTCTCTGGAGAAAATGATCTCTACTTGCTGTGCAGTGCTGAAGCTCACAGGGCAAGACACCTTGCTGCATGTGCCTGCTAAGCACTCAAAATGCGAAGAACTCAACCTCCAGCTTTATTTAGTTTAATTTAATTTTTTTTTTTGTTGTTTTTTTTAGAATTGGGGATTGAACTCAGGCCCTTTAATTTTAATTTTTAATCTAGCTAGTGGTCACTATGTTTCTGACCCTACAGTCACAGAAATAAAACCTCTAGAGTCTTCCAAATTCCATGGAGATTAAAATTTACCAAAATCTGTGCCTTAAAATAGCTCAACAGTCTTCAAACTATCAAATGGAATTCTAATCTATTCCAATAAAGACTTAGTTTAGGAGGAAAAAAAAATTTTTTTTTTTTTGTTTTTTTGAGACAAGGTCTTACTGTGGTTCAGGTTGGCCTTGAGCTCACTTTGTAGCACAGGCTGGTCTTGAGCTTGCAACGATCCCCCTGTCTCAGCCTCTGGAGTGCTGGGATTATAGGTATGCACTTCCACGCCCGGTTTAAAGGAAATTTTAAAGTAAGTGTTTTTCGACTATAGGAAGCTATCGATCTAGCTTCCTGGCAGATTGTAAACACTCACTTTTGAGACGACATCCCCGTCCCCTTCTGCACAGTCAGCACTGTAATAACTGACCTGGTCACTCACAGAACCAGGAGCTTGCAAAGGGAAATGACACACTGAAAATGGATTTCCCCGCTGCGCTGCTTGCCAGTGTGAGTGGTGACACTCACTCTTGCTTTTCTTCCACAGAAATACAAAGATAATCTCTGAATCTACACTTCTGCCCCCAGCGCAGGCCTGTGCCAAAATCCTGCAATCCCAGGCTGTGGAGAGGCCTTGCTGTGCTCACTGCAGCCCAGGAAGTTTATATCTATAATCCCATCGAAAAGTTATTGGAATTCTACTGAGTTAATTTCAATCTCCCAATTCCAGTAAAATCCATGGCAAGAATAAAGATAGTGAGGCATATGTGTAGTTGTGGGGAGTCCAGGGGTCCTAAGTCCAGCCAGGTGAAGGAACATCTGGAACAAAACCTCGACCCAGGGCTGAGCCCGGGTTCTACTCATTCATGAAGAAGGGAGTGGCTTGAGCATGAAGGACTGAGAATGGCAAGAAGTAGGTGAATGGGCCGGAGAGATGGCTCAGTGGAATAAGCACTTCCCTAGCAAGTGCAAGGGTCTGAGTTCAATCCCCGGTTCCACCAAAAAAAAAAAAAAAAAAAGGAGTAGGTGAATGCAGTGAGCTGGGCTACGTAGGCGGCCTGAAATCACTCTGCAATATGCGGAGAAGGCAATATACAAAGTGATCTGCGTAACAACTGAAATAGTGTCTAATGTTCAGCTCTGACAGGGAATATTTCAAGCCCCAGGAAGCCACAGCTTCCCAGCCACCAGTGTGGCTCACACAAGGAAACAACTAGGGTGTGGGGAAACACTGCCTGTCCTTCTCAAAGGCTACCATCAGCACCTCTGGACCAATATGCATTGCTTAAAGCCAGTTGGAATGATAAGGAAAAGTCCTAGGCAGCTGTGTACATACTAGTATGTGGAAATAGGGACAGGCTGAGCCAAAGTGGAGACAACTGCTCCTCCTTCAGGGAGTCTCCCAGGTGGCCCCCCACACAAGACCATCAATAAGGACAAGTTGCACAAACTGGATTTCCACTCTCATTTTGGGTGTGCACTCAGAGAACTCACAGCTCATAAAATTTAAAAACTAAAAAAGAAAAAGAAAGAAAGTCAATTCCATCTCTTTGTTTGTTTGAGACAAGGTCCCATTATATGGTTTAGGTGGGTCTCCAATTCACTATGCAGCCCTGGCTGACCTCATAGTTCCAGCAATCCTTCTGCCTCAGCCTCTGCGCTGAGATTACAAGCATGCATCACCACACCTGACTTCTAGTCTGTCTCTTGCTATAAAGGCAAAGGATGGTTCAAGAGTTGGAAAAAGCTCTGTAGGCCTGAGTGCATGTGCATACACACACATGCACGCATGCATGCGCACGTGCACGCACACACACACACACACACACACCTCTAACTTTTGCTACAGCTGAACTCACTTTCTGACCTCTAAGAGGCAATGTGAACTGCTTATCAACGATCTAACAGCTCCTGCACTGCACAGTAATGCTCAAGGGTCGCTGCTTTTCATAACAGCTGGTGCTGACGGAGGGTCGCGCCCTCTGCATCATTTTATTTAAGAATCACTGGCCGGGGAGATGGCTCAGTGGGCCGGGGAGATGGCTCAGCGGAATAAGCACTTCCCCGGCAAGCGCAAGGGCCTGAGTTCAATCCCCGGTTCTGAAAAAATAAATAAATAAAATAAAAAAAGAATCACCACTGTTCTCTGAGACACTGCCATTACCAGTGCTGAAACTCACAGGCTAGTCCATCTTGCCTAAAGCCATACAGATAACAAATGGTAGAGGGGTGATGTGGGTCAAAGCTGACTTTGGGATAGAAAGCCCGTGTGTTAAGAACAGAAGCAAACACCATTCCGAAGGGGGGTGCCAGCCAGGGCTTCTTATCAGGATGCAGCTCAGGGAGGGAACAGGCTGTGGCAGGGCCCAGCAATCCCAGGCCTGCTCTTACTTCACAAGCCGCTGCACCTGTCAGAAAGGTGCCAGAATGGTACCTTTCCATCCTGGGGCCAGGCCTGGCAGGTGGGCAGAGGGACACACCAAGCACTGCTCCTCCTGCCAGCAAAATGGCATCCAAAGGGCAAGATATATATATATATCTGCAGCAGCACTTCCCAAAAGCACCGTGGGGCGCAAGAGAAACCAGGGCAGTGGTCCTGCCCAGCTGCTCCCTGGGGCAGCAGGAATCACACACCAGAAATGCCTGCGCTGGCACCCAAAGGGGGAAACCCAGCAAAGGCTGCAGTGGGGAAGAACTGTTTTCTCGCTTTTGTGACAGCAAAGGAATTCTGGTGTGTGATTCCTGCTGCCCCAGACCTAAGCCAATGGCAGCCCGCCCCGGAAATCCTACAGGAACCACCCCAGGACCCCTTTCGCCCATGCTGTTCCTGGCACCTGCTTCTACCTGTGTGGCCTCAAGCGAGTTTTTCAGCTCTCTGGACCTCAGTGTATAGAACGGCAGCAGGGAAGACCTCAAGGTGGTCCGGGAACTTAATTTATTGTTTTCACATCTTTCCTTCTTGTAAGGCTGGGGATCAAGCACAGCGCCTCACACCGGGTGTCAAACACCCTCCTACCGAGCTCCATTCCCAGCCCCAGAAGCTAATTTTAGAAAAATAAACTCGTGCTAAGAACACAGGTTATTCATTTCCAATTTCTTACATTATAAAAATGTTAAGTCAAGCCGGGTAAAAAGCCCAGTCTGAGGTCAGAGTCACAGCGCCCCGGGAAGAGGCTGCCTCAGCCTGCACCCCAACAGCAGGGACGGCGGCATCCACCCACCTCACGGGCTGCTGGGTAGGTCAGTGGAGCGGGAGATCTTCCGCCTTCTTTTCCCGGGGCTGGGGACTGAACCCAGGGCCTCTTGCAGGGAGCTATGTCCCTGGGCCTTTTCGTGTTTAATTCTGAGACAAGGCCGCGGTAAGTCTTTAAATTGCCCTGGCGGGGCTTGTATCTGCAATCTCCCGGCTCAGCCTTCCCGATGACGGGGCCCCAGGCATGCACCTCTGGGCCCGAGGGGGTCTTGTTAAGGGGCCGGCCCCAGGAGGCACGCAGCCCTTGCTCGCTCCAGGTGCCCTATTATTAATTAGCAACTACTGCCTTCCACCCGTTGCACCCGGCAGTGCGCGGGCCGCTGCCCAGCAGGTTCTCCGTCTCGGGCTGGGCAAGGCGCCCTGGGTTCCTCCTTCTCATCCCGGCTCCCGCAGGACCCGGTCCCCCACCCCCGCGCCTCATCCTCGGTTCCCGTCCTTACCGCGGCCTCTCGGCCCGGGGTGCAGGCTCCGCCCGCCGGCGGGGGTCACACAGGCGCCGCTCAGCGGCCGGGAGGGACGGTCGGCGCGGCCGAAGGACGCGGGGGCGCCTGAACTGCTCCCCGCGGCACCGCGGGGCCACACTGTGTGCAGGGGCCGCCGCCGCGCACCGGGTATCCGCGCGCCCGGGTCTCGCCGGCTCCACCCCGCCCGCGCCGCCGCGCTCTGCTCTTAAAGGCGCGGCGCCCTCCCCTCCCCGCGTCCGCCGACTGAAAAGCTGGCTCCACAGGCACCGCCGCCGGGGACTGCGGGACTCGAACGTCAGTTTTTCCACCTCCGCGCTGAAAGCGCGAAGCCTAGACGGCAAAGTGAGTGCCGGGCGCAACGTGACCCCAGCAACTCGTCTCCAACCACGCAGCTCCAAGACCGCCGTCCCCAGCGGGCACTGCGATCCTGGCGGCGGCGGCGGCGGCGGCGGCAGAAGCAGTCAGTGGTCCTGCCCGAAGAGCGAAGCGGGGGCGCAGGGCGTGGGGGCCGCAGGGCTTGCCGGGCGGGCTTTCAACCCGAGCCGCGGCTGCACGGGGAAAGCCGGGATCAGATCACTGTCTGGTTCGCGGAGAACGCACTCTGTGCCTGCGCTGCTGGGCGCTGCATCCACCCGGGCCTCGGGCACGATCTGAGAGGGCCAGAGAGTTAAGAGAGGGCCGAGGGGCGGTCACAGGGAAGCGTGGCTACGCGGTAGCGGTGGTTTGCATTTAACCCCCTGAGGCCGGCGCCGAGGTTAGCTTGCCCAGGGTCTGTGCCTGGAAAGTACGGACTGGCAATTTCCGTAGAGGCCCTGTTGACCCGGAGATGCGGGGAGTTCATGAGCGTCTGGAAGGGTCTCTGCCACCTCTAGGAATGGGCACTATGGCCATGCCTTCCTACTAGGGACAATTAAACCTCAACCTGGCCTGGCTAGGTCTTGTTTTCCGAGTCTCAATTTGTTTAATTTAATTTTTGCTGTACTGGGGATTGAACTAAGGTCTTCACACTGATTCACATCCCCAAGCTTTAATTTTATTTATTTTTTTTTCCAGACCAGGGCTTGCTAAATCGCTCAGTTGCTCAGGCTGGGTACAAATCTTAATCCCCCTGTGCCAGCCTCCCAGAATGCGGGTGTTCTGGGCGTTTGCCATGGCAACGGGCTTCGTGTCCCAATTTAGGTGTTGCTTTCTTTGGCTTCCTAAGCTGCCTTTGGGCTCGTTCTCCATCGAGACAGGAGGATGTCAAATTTGAGCTACACCAGGGCAACTCCCAGACTTAGCCAGACCTTGTCTCAAAATAATAGTAAAAAGCTGAGGACATAGCTCAGTGTAGGAGCCCTAGGTTCAATTCGTAGTACTGCACAGAAAGAAAGAAAGAAAGAAAGAAAGAAAGAAAGAAAGAAAGAAAGAAAGAAAGAAAGAAAGAAAGAGAAAGTGAGCAAGCGAGCGAGCCAGAAAGAGAGAGAGAGCGCGCACTCAGCGAACTAAAATGCCTGCTTAGGTAGAGTGCAGATCCCCAGCATGCCAAACCAGCCCCGCTCCCGGGGGCACTCTGCGACTTTGAGATTGGGCGACTTTGAGACTGGGCGTGGTGGCACGTGCCTGTAATCCCAGCACTTGGGAGGGAGGCTGTAAACAGGTGGATCACTACAAGTCCGATCTACGTAGTAAGACACTGTAGACCTTGTCCTAAAATACAGAATGAAAAAAATTATTCATTCATTTAAGAAACAAGTACTGAACACCAGCAGTATGCTGTGTGGAACCTTGTAGGGTTGGGCAGAAAAGGCGCACACAGCACGTGGGCTTCCTGTGCACTGAATCCTTAGCTTGGTGGAACCACTGCTCAGCTGGACTCTCTCCACTAAAATCTGTCACCAAGGCACCCTCAGGCCACACCCATCCACTCCCTCAGGGTCCTCCACCCCCCATCCTGGCAAAGTTGGGCAAGGCTGGGGCCTGGTGAATGGTGTATGGACAGGGAGCCCCAGAGATACAGAAGGCCCTGGGAACACTCCTGAAAAGCCACCTCTGGCAGAGCAGATGCACCTTATCCAGAGTCAGGGACGATGTCCTGGGGCTACAGCAGCATCCTCCAAACTGGTGGCCACCTCATCACTCAGGGCTGCATAAGATTCCCTTCAGGGAGCTGTACCCACAGTTTTAGTGACGGGTCACAAGGCTGCGCTGCACAGTCCCCCATCTTCTCTCTCCTTACTGCCTGCCAAGCTGACACCTTTCCAAGCCACCTCCACCAGCATCCTCAGGGCAGCCCAGGTGGGAAGCAGGAGAAGAGAGCTGGCCGGGCAGTCCTGGCCTCCAGAGCTTCACTCAATGCAGCCCAGGGTTGAACAATGCTGAAAAGAAAAGGAAAGGAAGCCAAGAGAGACTTCCTGGGAGGCCCCAGCCTGGAAGTCATCCATAAACTCTACCTGTGTGGAAAACTAGCAACGTTTGTGCTTTTTCATTTTGTCACTTCAAAACCTTAAAACTGGTGTAAGGGTATTGCCCAGTGATAGAGCACATACTTAGCTGTGTGAGGCCATATATGTTTGTTTCCTAGCACTGAAAAAAAAATTTTTAAAGAAAGAAAGAGGTCGGAGGCTGCGTCCGCTGCAGCGGGTTCCGCCACGCTCCAGATAATCTTTTCCTGAAGGAAAGCTGCCACTTCATATGCTTCAGAAATGGCTCTTCCAATCATTGTAAAATGGGGTGGACAGGAATATTAAGTGACCACGCTTTCGGAGGATGATACTGTGCTTGATCTCAAACAGTTTCTCTTACTGGAGTGCTGCCAGAACACCAGAAATTACTGGGACTCAAATTGAAAGGCAAACCTGCAGAAAATGATGTTAAGCTTGGAGCTCTCAAACTGAAACCAGATACTAAAATCATGATGGTGGGAACTCGTGAGGAGAGCTTGGAAGATGTCTTGGGTCCGCCCCCTGACAATGACGATGTTGTCAATGACTTTGATATTGAAGATGAAGTAGTTGAAGTGGAAAACAGGGAAGAAAGTCTGTTGAAAATTTCTCGGAGAGTCAAACAGTACAAAGTGGAAATACTGAATCCTCCCAGAAAAGGAAAAAAGCTGTTGGTACTAGATGTTGATTGTACGTTGTTTGACCATAGGTCTTGTGCAGAGACTGGGGTAGAATTAATGCGGCCGTATCTTCATGAATTCCTAACATCTGCATATGACGATTATGACGTTATTTGGTCTGCGACAAATATGAAGTGGATTGAAGCTAAAATGAAAGAACTGGGAGTGAGTTCCAATGCAAATTATAAGATTATCTTCATGCTGGACAGTGCTGCCATGATAACAGTGCATACCCCAAGGAGAGCACTGATAGATGTAAAGCCTCTTGGTGTTATTTGGGGAAAGTTTTCCGAGTTTTACAGCGAGAAAAATACCATTATGTTTGATGACATAGGAAGAAATTTCCTAATGAACCCACAGAATGGACTCAAGATAAGGCCTTTTATGAAAGCACACCTAAATCGAGATAAAGACAAAGAACTTTTAAAATTAACTCAGTACCTCAAAGAGATAGCAAAATTGGATGACTTTTTGGAGCTAAATCACAAATACTGGGAAAGGTATCTCTCAAAGAAGCAAGGACAGTAGTCACACGTTATCCCAGCC